GAAAAACAGCGTGTTGACACACAGCTTAGGGGCATACAGGTAAACGCGCGCCTGTATGAGTGAGTGTCGCTGCGTGTGTGACTGCGTGTGCAAATTAAAAACAAAATAAAATCTTAATTTCTCGCTTCCCAGCCAGCGATAGGCTGCCTTCTACTTCGTGCGAGATTTTGCAGTTTAAATGAAATAATATACGCCACGCCGGCGGGGGCGTATGAGCAACATTCACTTATAGTGGAAGGGGTTGGGAGAGCTTTGAATTCGACGCTCATGAAAAATCAAAAAGTGAAAGCGGATATTGAAATGAAGTTATGTAAGTGCTTAGACTGTTGTGAATGGCAAACCATTTTGGCTGGATGGTTGAATGTCACTCGGCGGCTTTTGAAATATGAACAGCAGCGAAGCGCTGAGTGAAATATGTACGTTGAACTTTGAAGGTCAGTGGGCGGTGAATTGACTACAGCGCAGGCAGCCAAATTTTTACCAAAATTCCAGTGAACTTCCAACCTGCTGCTTTGATTCTTTTCATGCTATGTTAGGCGCGCGCGCTTAAACCGCAAAGTTTTTTAAAAGTGGAAAAATAAGTAATTACTTTGCCGGCAAAAAAAACCTTAATTGCTATGAAAAGGTTATAGAAAAAAGTGCAAAAGACAGAATAACACACTGGGAGTCGAAAAGACTGAGTGGAGAGGAGAGGAGAGGGTAGGAGAGAAGATAAAAGTAAGATGAATAATAAGGAATTACTATTAAAAAATCTTGTGTAAGCATTGCTTAAAAGTAATTAGCTTAAAACCTTCCGAGTGAAAAAATCACACATTAATTTGTTGATTTCCAAGCATAAAATTTTGTGAAATCCTGCTTGTAAGCGAAATGAAAATTTAATGCGCAGGCAAATGCAAAGAATTTGTATTTGAAAGGTCGACAATCGAAAGAAAATGTAAATTCGCTAGAAATAAAATAATGAAAATGAGGGCTAGGCAAGCCGTGCAAATCAACTTTGAACTATGTACCTACCTGCGATGAATTGTGTTCAATTTGAGTGAAAGGGTCACTGAATTCAATGGCATTCAAAAGTGCATTTAATTCAATAAAAGTTCGCCAAACTTAACCAGAAATCAAGAATTTGCAAGAAACAATAAAAAAAAGCTTTCTACAAACAAATTCGTTTCCAAAGGGCTTTACTGAACTCAATTCTTCTTAACTTGGCTCATTTATGAAAAGTAACTGAAATGTAATTGAAATTGCTTAGGTTTACAGTTTACAAGCGACCTGCGAATAATGAATAGATGAACAGATGAAAAGCAATAACTTAAAAGCAAAGGAAACTTACAGTCCTATGCACACATAAATATGTTTGTACATATAAATACTCACAATTAGACGTAAGAATTGAGCTATGAGAATAGCTGCCATAGGCAAACGGCCAGCTGTCGTCCGGCCAACGCACAAAAAACCAACGAAGCGTTGGGGAGGGGGAAGCAAGAATTACATTTTAATTAAAAGCAACCAAATCAAATGCAGGCCAACGAACATCAACCCGTACGTATATTCATGCATACTCTCTAGCACACAGACACTCAAACAGCTATTGATTGTTTAGCTAAATGCGGAGCCTAACAAAATTGCGGTTTGTTGTACGATTGTATTTATTATTGTAATTGTGTGAGTAATTACAAACGAATGAATGACACAAGTCGAGTTGATTTGAGTTGAACGAGTCACTCACTACTCATACCTAGGCAAGCAGGCGAGCAGCGCAGCAGCTGAATTTGTGTGTGCAGCCGTGCGTGAGTGAGTGCGCAATTGTTTCGCATTGTGACTAAAAATGAATTGCGCACAAACACACTGACCTGCAGATACACCTGCTTTGCTGCTTTTTTCGTACATTCTAAACCTCTTGTCGGCCATTTGTGGCAACGTGGTGGCTCACTACACAAAGGATTTACATTAAACTCTTTCGCTTGCTGATATTTATTTATATACTCGTATATCTCCACAGCATTTAGTTATTTATTGATGTTACTCAATTGTGTTCTTAGAACCACATCTGATCGGCTTGTGTCCTGTCTGATTGAAATGCACCACTATCTATGTATGTACATATGTAAGTGCCTAAGAATATCGAAATACGTTGTACTTGCCTGTCTAAAAGATTTCTATTGCATTGTTGCATTAAAAAAAAATCAATTAGAGTGATTGATTTAATTGCTGGCCTGCAGGATCTTTGAAGTCCTTAAGACAAAAGACTTATAGATATAAATACATATGTATGAAATAATGATGAAATTTCGAATATAAAATATAAAACCCTAATGCATATACAAAAATAATTGTATGAGTTTTGTTTAGTAGAAAGAAGTTACGAATTTTTAAATTCTTAAAATGTTTATGTAAGAAAACAATTTCGGGGATTTGTGAATTGAGAAAGTAGTTGCTAGCCACTAATCGTGAAGATTATTAAAATAAAAGTATTTTTTTTTTATAATCAGCTAAACTTTTTAATATAGATACATAAAATTTTCTCAGGGATCTTTTGTTAACGGTGTTCTATACCTATTCGCTTCTAAACAGAAACTCTCATTTCAAGAGCATATTGAAATTTACTTTTAAAGGAAATTATTGTTTTGAGTTATTTTTATTATATCGAAAGCTACATTGCAAGAGAGCTTTCACATTAAAAGTTTAGTAAATAGTCAGCTTTCACGTGTAGCGCTTACTATAGTGAGCTTTTGCACTTAGTGCATAGTATACATATTCAGTAGGAATAAAGCAGCTTTAATTTTTGAAGCTGTGTATAGTCTTTCCTTTTAAAGAAGTTTCTTTAAACTGTGTCGGAAATACGAGAAAAATATAGTACAGAGTTCATGAATTTATATATGTATATTTACGAAGCAGAATTCTAGGTAAGGTGTTCATATACCTAGCTTACGGCAAAGCTTTAGAAATGTATCGAATGCGTAGAATAATAAAATTAATAATAGGAAACTAAGGATTAATTTCGAAGCTGAAACATTTTTGTTGCTGTAATTGCAATGATATTTCTTTATTAAGTCTTTCCTACAAAAAAGCTTTTTACACATAAATCAGCTTTAAAGAGTTCTTGCACAGAGTGAGCTTTTATAAAATTAGTTGAATACTTAATATTGGAATACAATTTAAAAATTAGCTGTAATTTATAACTTTTCTAGAAAGAACTGCGTCTTTAGAAATATTAAAAAGGATTTGCTCTAGGACAAGAAGGTGCCCATCTATAGAGAAACCTTTCTGTGGATACAGCTTTTCGAAAGGGCTTTTACTTCTAAGCTTGATAAAACCAACTAATTCGTTTTCGGTTTAGAGATTACAGATTAAACAATTATTTTCCTACCGAAATGAACAACGCTTTTTAAGAAGTGAGTTTATATTTCAACGGTAGGAGATAGATTTTAAATTTTTTAGATACCTTTAGAATACTATCGAATTACATAGAAAACATTTCATTACCTGACTTTTTTTTATTTTTAGTGAGAAAAATTAATAATTTTAGCTTTTTATTTTTTTTATTTTTAGTGGAGCAAATTAAAATTTTTACTTTTCATTTTTTAAGGCGTAACGCTAAGGCTGCGGCGACGCAGTTAGTGGCTGAGCGGCTTTTATTTCTGAGGCGCGAAAAACCGCTCAAAAATGCCGCACGCAGATTTTTCCGGATTTGCTTGATTTTTGTTTTTTGGGACTTTCTTGCTTTATTCCATAATTTTCGTAAGTTTTAATATGAAACAGTAAATTTATATTTTTACTTTGCTTTTGATAAGTGCCTTGTAAAAAAAAGAAGAAACACAAATATTATCAGGATTTGCGACCCCAAATTTACGCTTCCTATTGAACTTTTTCCGCTTTTTTATATTTTAAAACCAAAACAGTTTAGTTTAAGCTGAATATATGTATACACCGAGGACGGAAAATAATAATAAATAGTAATTTTTTTTCAATAAAAAAAACATGTTCTAAGCGTCGCCAAAGAGTGTCGAATGCACCCAGATATATTATTTCTGTACTCTGTTATAATTTGCAAAGATTTCTATTTTTTCGAATTTAATAATATTTCATTTTTATTTTTTTCGATCAAAAATATTGATTATTTTATGATTTGTATTTTTTCACTTAATAGAATTGATTATTAGAAAACCCAACAACTATACTGGCGTGACTTCCGGTGTATCCTTTTCAGAAGTATCGACACCATATTAATAGGAAAAAGTCTCAAATTATTATTTGTAAGTGAAGAAATAAAAATCATAAAATAAGCATAATTTTTGATCGAAAAAATAAAATATCTAGTTACATATCTATGGTCAAACATTGACCGTTTTTCCGAAATCGAGTTTTATGCATCAAAATGTTGCTAATAAAATGATGCACATACATACAGACATATGTATATAAGTCAATTACGAAAAAAATTATCGGTGATGAGCTTTGAGTGTTTCGCCATCGATATAATAATTTCTGTTGAGCAAAAAAAAATCTGAAAATAATGTTTAAATGCTGATTTATATTATTTTACTCAAGATGATTACCGTCCCTGGTATTTACGCTAGTAGTAAATTATATTCCCGAAACTCATACATATTTCCGCATATACAACTATTCTAGGCACTCCTTCTCCCACCGCTTCTGTTCCATGATGAACCTCATCAGTTCACACATTGCTACGATTCCTATACGCCCACTAATTTTTAGCGCAAACAAATGTTGTCTTTCAGCGCGGCTGATCATTTATGAGATTAAACAAATAAATTCATTTATGTACATCTGCACGTGCATGTGTTTGTATGCGTCTATATATGTGTGTAGTAGACGCGTTTAGAAATCAAGCAGAGCGTGCAAGTGACGCATACGCCATGGCTGACAGCTGATTGATTGGAAATCGAAAAATTCAAGCAACAACTGAAGCGGCTAGTCTTTATAAAGGCTATTGATTAGAATCATAGAAAAAAAAGTCTTAAAGGAAATTGCATACTTACTCAGACTTGTCGGCAAATTTAACGCGTTGCGAAAAAAGGTGCTTTAGCACTTTTGGCAAATGTTTTGTAGATGTTAAGAAAATTTTTATTAACTTTTATATTTGGTTTGAGGAATTGTATATGCATTTGTGTGTCTGTATTTACTCTTAAATTCGAGTTTTTTGGGGTTTTTCTCCCTTTTATGATTTTTTTTTCTATTCAGCCGAGATTTTTTTTTACGGATTTCCACGATTTGTTTCACTGTCTATCTTTCTAGTTCATTATCGGCCTTTGCGAATAGCACAATGTAAGTAGCTCCTCCTTTCTGTCCCTTTCGTCCCCCTTTCTGCCCCTTAATATACTCTGTAAGTAGCTCAATGGCTTGCTAGCGTCTCAGCCTCGGATTGCGCGCTTTTATTTCAATGCAATTTACACAAAATTAGCTAATTTAATCTGCGCTTTCAGCATCGCTTCTGCTACTTAGTGCATTCATCTATTATGAGTTTATATATACATACCTACATATGTATGAATGTGGTGGTTTGATTATAATTTTCGAAAGACTTGCATAGGAATTGCAATTTACACGTCGCTTGCCGTCCGCTACAAAAAAACCTTAGTCTTTCTCCAGCTAAATATATATTTAAGCAAAAACTGAACCTTTTTTCACACGCGCCACGCGCTTTTTATTCGCCTTTGACACATCTCTGTTATGCTATGTACATAGCAACACTACAGCCTTTTGATATATGATGCGCTCTTTATTTCTTCTTCTTCACTAAAAAAAAAAATCCTCTATTTTATTTCATTCGTTATACACCAGCACCGTTAACTTAGTTGTTTGCCAGTTGTATGCGCGTCGCTTTTGAATGCCGTTGCGAGACTGAAAATCGTCTGCGTTGTAGCATTCACTGGCAGCTAGCGGCTGCAGCAGCGTTGATGGTGGTTAAGTTGGGCGGTTAGCTGGCGCAGTGGGCAGGTGTGTGGGCTGTAAGGCGCGCTGGCTGGCTGTTGCGTTGCTTCATCTTTTGCGCTTTTCTATGTGTTTCGCTGCAGTTGGAAGATTTCTTCTAAGATATTTACTATGTGTAGCTGTCAGAGGATTATGATAATGATGATGTTGTGGATATCTTGCTTTCATTCCATTTTTATGGGCTGCTGTTGGACAGCGTTGAAAGTGACAGTGACAGCTGAGCGTGCACGGGTGTGTGTGTGAGTATTGCATGCACACTGATTTGGTTTGCTGATAATTGAAAAAAAAAATCTATAGTTATTCACAGAAAGGTGATTAAAATCAACATTTTGCTTAGGGATGCTGCAGTGTGGGTAATGAAATTTTTGTTCAAAATCTCAAAGCAACAACTATCAGCAACTGCATGGAATTTTCCGATTGCCTTCATTTGCGAAACAAACCTAAGCTAGTTCGCAAGCTTTTGAGGTATTGCCCTGGAAAGGCTTATATAGAAGTGAAGAAAACCGGTTTGTTCAAAAAAAAAAAATTCGGTTTATTCGATATTTGAAAAATCAAGATTTCAACTTTCTAATTTCAAAGTTATAATTAATTCCAAAAATTATTTAAAAAATTCAATGCAATGTGAAATAAAAATATAGGTTCCAAATGCAATAGGAAATTTCTTTAGAATTTAAAAAATTAAAATTTTTTGGATTCACGAGGACGAAGGGATAGTTTTTAAGCTGATATAGTTAGAATAATGAAATTCAAGGATGTTATCGAGTTTATATATCTAACTCCTTAACATATAATTTTTTCAAAAACAAATATTGCGAAATTTCAAAGATAAAATTTTTAAAGGACATGTTCAATGCTTACCAGCTCTTTTGCACCAGAAACTTGAATCTGTTTAATTTTTGCAAGATTTCCTCTTTAACTTGTTATCCATATTTCTTGTTTAAGCACATTTCACTGAATTTTTTTATATCATTTTTAAATTACTGACGTCAGAGTGAAAAACTAAAAACGCAATTTTACTATATTTGGCCCATGTTTTCGCGAATATATTGATATTTGTATTTAAAATTTACTATCGCGCGGTGTTATATGTATAATGAGCTAGACATTTATAAAAAAAATATTACTAATTAAATACAAAAAAAAATATAGCCAATACTGGTCAAGAAAAGGAGTTTCTATTATTGCCATCAGTGCAAATTATTTGGCAAGTAATCCCGGGATTTTCGGGACCTTAAAAAGGCCGGGTTCCCGGGATTAACTTTCCTAATGAATCTTCTGAATCAGTGTACGAAAATAAACTATATTGTACGTTACTATTTCGTTTCGTTTATTACTTTAACAGTTCGGTACAATACGAAACAAAACGGCTGAGTTCACTTTGGTGATAGTACACTACAGTAGTTTAGTAGTTACAGACGAAACAACAAACGAAATGAATCGTGCAGGGAAAATATTTTTATGTATGTACATATATGCAATAAACAAATACAAAACGTATGGCTGCAATGAATAAAAAAAAATAAAAATGTTTTTTAATTAAATTGGATATGAAAATTTACAGAAAAAATTATTTTTCACGTAATTGAAACGTTTGCATACATATAAAACGTACCCTATGGTACAATTGTCACAAACGAAAAGCAAACGTTTCTCGTTGGGGAAAATGACAGTGAATCTTACAATTTGTTTCTGACTATTTACAAAACTGTACAAAACCACAAATGATATGATGATCGATGAGCAAATGGGAATTGTTTTGTACAGTTTATTTTCGTACCCTGTTCTGAATATCTTTTTTAAGTTTTCATTTAAAAACAATTTCGCGATGGAACCTTATTCTTTATGCAAAACTCGAGATAATGCATTATTTAAGATTAATGTGCCACCATTTTCGTGAGTTTTGCTCATATGTACATACATATGCACATATTTCTTCTATTCTGGGCTTAAACGTATTGCACTCTATCTCCTCATTGATCTCGGACCCCAACTCCATCTAAGCTTAGCACCCTATATTGTATCCTTTATGCTGATCGATTGTATATTTTTTAACGCAATCTTATATGTTTATTATTTTTCTCAAATCTTTGTAGACTAAAACCTTTGAATGACAGCGTTGCTACTTCAAGGCTTCGAAATAGCAGCTATGACTTCTACAAAATGTAAATTACAGTTTTTCCACAATATTTTTTTACTAAAAAACGGCCTCAAGCAGTATCAAGAAAATAATTGTTATTGGGCCCACAACACAGTGCCACAATATGTCAAGTTACACCAGCAGTTAAAGCAGGAAGAAGTTGTACGAAGCAGCAATGCAAGAAGGTAAGTGGGGATACGGGCGGGTGGGGACTGTTAATCGGGGACCTGATTAAAGTGCGCTGGTTTTTCAAAATCAAACGCAAAATTTGGAAGCTTTTCTATGCCATGAAAGATGCAATATAGGTTTCATTTCATAAGTGAATCATCACTTTATTACTTTTTGTATCTGAACTCATTCTTGAACTTTTTGTATCTGAACTCATTGTAATATTGATTGCTGCAACATTTTACTGCATGCAACTTCAGTTTTATTCAATATATTCTATTACGAATAAAATTCCAAGCAACGCTGGGGGCAAAGTTCAAACTTCGCGCTTTGTACGGGCTGCAGAAAAAAAAAAATCCAAATCTAAATCAAATACAAAATTTGGCCTTGACTCCGAGCCTTTGGCCTTCAACTGCAGCAATTCGCTTTAATATGCTTACACCAATCGCCATTCTTATTTATTTACATGCATATGTATGTATGTATTAGTGTCTTGCAATCGAAATTTTGAGGCACTCGAATAGTTTCAACACTTTTTTTTAGCTTTCGAATTCTAAAAATAAAATAATTATTTTCGCTAGATTTTAAGTGAATATTGAATACCACTTCTGCAGCATAGCCTAATAAATTTAAGCTTTGTTGTTGTTTGCGTATGTTGTAGCACATTTTTAATATATGGCAAGGTAAATATTTGGATTTGCCGCTGTAATTCACTTCCACTTCTACTGGCAACTGGCTCTGGCAAATGCCACCAGCGCCAAAGACAACAGCCCGCCAAGTACGCGCATATACGTACATACATACATACATATTTAGTTAAAAAGAGCTAAACAATTGAGCAAAAAGTAAATAAACAATTGCATGGAATTTATGTAAATATGGCAATCTTTGTGTACATTTGGCCGTATACTCAAATCTGTAAATGGTTAGAAAAAAAGCGCCAAAAATAAGAATTCTTATTTGAACTTGATACAGCGTAGTGCTGTGGCAACCGCCAACGAATAATCTCCACCACTACTCCACCTCTCTCTGGCCTCTTGCGGCCTTTAAACGCTTGGCTACTGGCCTTACTCGCTTACTTGTTCGGTGGCTTTTATTTACACGAAATTTTCGAAAGTTTATTACACATCCGCGGATTGGCTGAAAATTGCTCATTCGGCTGGTTGGCCCCGGCGATTGCTTCACCGCCTTGCTGCCTATGCCGTTGCGTCTGTTTCGGTTTCGGTTTCTGTCTCTATTATCTTTTATCTGATTAAGCAGCGCGCACTTTTTACGATGATATTATTTGCCGTATTTATTTGCTGCAGAATTAACTGCTGCCTTATTTTTATATTTTTGTTTAGGTCTTTTTAAAAAATCGTACCAAATGAATAGAAGTTTTTAAAATGATTTCGTTGAAATGCCATTTGATGAGCAATTGAAATGCGAGTGTGTGCATTAGGGTGGACTCAGCCCCTAAGAGTGTTCTATATCGAAAAAATATACTCATACTTTTTTTAATTTGAAATAAAAAAACTATTTAGCGGTTGCTCGAAGCGCTCAAATCTTTCCAAATGTTTTCTATAGGGAAGCAACTTTTCGTAGAAATGGTGTTGAATTCTTGAAAATCTATATTTTTCGATCGGAAGGCTCTAGTTCTCTTCAAGAGACTTCCAATAATAATCGGGTTATTAGGATTGCATCACGCTAATAATACCATTGCCCATATTTACATCGATATCATTTCGATAAAAATAACAATATCGATATCGATAGATAGCGATATAAAAAATCTGTAGCTAAATTTTACATGCATTTTTATCGATAACGA